CTTAAGTAAAATATTGATGTGCACATGTTGTGGATTTTATAGGAATTAAAGGCACAGAAACAGAACTATTTTGAAGTTCAACGTGCAAGACGAACTAGGATTGCACTGTACTTCAGGGGTGCCCGACCTTTCAAATGGCAAGGGCCACTTCAGTGATTTGGTAAACCAGTTGTGGGCCACAATGAAATCAAATGGGTCAGAATTAAAATTTTTCATTTTGAATACCTTAATGAACATTTTCCTCTTGCAGCTACTGAATGCCAATGGGAGGGAGAGGAGGAGAAGCAGGCTTGCAGGGAAATCGGTTCCTGTAAATGCTGCCCCTGCTGCCCCTCCTGTCCAATTGTAAAACATAATGTGACAGGGAGGCTGCATGGCCCCCCTGGAGCATGAGGTAGGGTCAATATTGCAGCCCCTAATGCTACACTAGTGGTTGGGGTGTGTGTGGTATAAACTATCTGTCCCCCAAACTGCAAAATGTAAACAAACCCTTACTGTCTTGAGCCCCCTATAAGGCCACCTTCACACTGATGCACTGTTGTTTACCTGCACCGTAGGTGCAGTGCAGTGCAGCTGTAGTTTACCTGTGGGTTAGCTGCGCTTTGCCATAGACTTCTATTATATCTTGGGGATGCGGTGCACTTTCTGAAAGTGCACTTAAACTCCTGCATTCAGGAGTTTTGGTGCTCTTTTAAAAAGTGTACCAAACCCACAGGATATAATAGAAGTGCGCTTCCCTGGTTTGAGGTCGAGGGCCATATCAAAGGGCTATAGGTTGAACACCCCTGCTGTACTTGTTTATCTTCAGCGTTCAATCAACTAGATTAATGGAAGGATTTTGATCGCCATTTGAGTGGATATTTGTGATTTAAGTGTACTATATGTATAGGGCTTAAGTGTAAGATCACCATTAAAAAAATACACTAAGGCATTCAGTTTGTTTGTTTTTAATCCATCCGTTGATGGATACAAAATGAACATCAATGTATCTCCATTGAAAAACAGATGCAAATGGATGATCTTCCATTTACATCCACATCCATCAACATCTGTTTTTTTGGAACGGATAAAAACGGATGTAAAAGTATAAATGGTCAGTTTTTGCATTGGTAGTGAATGTAAAAACTGATGAAAAACTGATGAAAAACTGACATACTTTTTCTTTTAAAAAAACATGACTGAACTGATGAAAAAACCGGAATGCCCATGTGAACGGACCCTTAGGCCCCTTTCACACGGACATTCCAATTGGGTCTGCCTGCCCATTTTTGAGGTGGACCCGACCAGAACCTCTATTCTCCTCTGTGGAGCGGTAGGTGTAAATAGACATGTGTCTGTTTACACCCACCAACAAAGCCAAAAAGACACAGATGGGGATCCATTCCCCTTCTGTCCATCGGATCAGATGGCAGTCAGATGGAAATGGACAGGCAATCCGTTTCCATCCAAACACCCATAGGCTGTGGCCGTGTCCGCTTTACATAAGCAGAGCAGACACGGGGACCTGTCATCTGCTTGCTCAGTAGGGATCAGCAAACAGATCCCCCGCTGAGTAAGCTGATCCGCTGACTGGTCCGCAACATGTGAAAGGGGCCTTTAATGTATGTTACATTTGAATAAGACATAGATTTTCATGTAATCCATGGATGTTATAAACTTACCTTCATCTTCATTAGTGAAGCAAAATTAGCTTTTCTACCTGTGTGAATGTAGCCTTAATGGCAGCCACCATGTTTCTCTCCTGAAAGGTTTACTTTAAATATTTTCAGCAAAAGAATAAAAAAACATGTTATTATATCATATAGAACATTTGTTTACATAAAAAATAAAATGTGCAATAAATACTTTATTACAAAAAGCAGTAAGAGATCATTTTAATGAGACATATTTTGCAGCAAATACACTATTTTGTCTATCTTATATGAAAAATTGATAATATTGTACACTTTCACATGACAAAATTCTTTTAGAAACTTCTTTTTCCTTTCTTGATTTGAATGCCTGCTGTTAGCTTCATTGATTGAACAGATGAATGTGTGTGCACCTGTTCCCCACAATTTGTCAATTTACTACTGATTTATCAGTGGTGCCCAGCCAACAGATAATAGAAGTGCACATACATGTCCAGTGAATAGCAAACCTGGACTATATGCTTGCCTATTGTTGCATTTGTGGGATTCTTAAACATTTTCAGTAACTGTTGCTGCTATAAGCATATATTTTTGTGTATGTGTGGTCACATTATGATATAGAAAATATTAATAGTTTGATTAGATGAAGTATTTTATTTTTTAAGACTGAAGTTCAGGAATTACAGTATGTAGTATGTATTCAGATACTTATTTTTATATTGACCTTATGCAGTTGCTGAATTCTTGCATGTATAAACACATGTATCATTGGGCATAATCAATTCAAAAAAATATAGTGCATTGTTTGTTACGGAAGCAGGAACTAAGCATGCTATTTTAAAAGATACAAATTATATCAATATTGATTTACTTATTTTTCATTTAACCCACAAAAACATAGGAGAGTCAGCCAGATTGGCAGTTTCTTCGATAATTGAACCATCCAAGTAGTTCTGGATGCTGACATCACCTGACACTTGGAAGCATCACTAGCTAAGGGGCAGACAAGCCAGGCTTTGGAAGCCTCCAACATTAACTGTAAAATTTGGCTATGACAGTAAGTTTAATTCAAACATTGAAGACGCCTCTGCACATTCATTTTGTACACCAGCTTCCCAAACAAGCAAGTTGATAAAGCATCACATTTGTAGTGAAGCTCATCAGTATTTGTAATTGTATTGTTTATGTACTTAATAAATGCTATTAGATGTCAAAATATCATTAACAATTCATAATCTCTACCAAATAGAGATGAGCACGGATTATTTTCCTAAAATTCCAGGGGCACACCTAAGACTGAAAGATGCTGGAGCACCCTTATGTACCTGATGGGTATGGTCAATTTGACAGTGGGAGGTGCTTAAAGGGGTATGGTTAAATAAAAATCTGAGTCTTCTCACTGTATACATGGCACATGTATACCACAGTCATTGTACTTACAAAAATGGTTTAATTACTGCTCCACAAGTGAGAATCTAACAGACACATACAAACCTCAGCACAATTATTTACAACAAATAAAAAATAACTCATTCATTACATATGCTTTCTGCACACAGGCATCTTTAAAGAAGAACTTTATCATAATTGTCCGTGACTCCTTAGCAACTGGCAACTTTTGAGACTTTGATTTGGAGTATGTAATGCATAACATAGCTTAAAAGAGTTCAGGGGTCAATTTGAAAAAAGGCTTGGGGTTTGCTTTTAGAAATCCCCCAGTACAGAGCTAATCCCAAATACCCCCAGTACAGATCCTTCCCCCAAATCCTACTCCACAGCAAAGACCTCTCCTTAACACCCAAATTCCCCCAATATAGACCTCTACCTCCAAAGTGCACAACTCAGTATAGACCTCTCCCCAGTAGAGATGCCCCCCCCCAATATAGCTCTCCCCTCTCCCTCCCTGATGTAGCAAGCCCTCAAAGACAACAGCAGTGCACAGTGAGTCCTCCTCTCCACTGTTTTATGTGACTGTGCATCAGAGCCAAGGATGAGCTTAGGGGAGCCACGGTAAATGAGATCTGAACAAGCCGTGCCCAAATGAAAAACAGTCTAGCAATTGTGGAAGCCAGGGAAGTTTGCTAGGCACTAGCAATACCCTTGGAAGGTTCGACAAAAGCTTGCACAATATTGTGAAAGTGGTTTTTTGCAGTCATTTGACGTGATATTACAAGTTAGTGATGATTATTACTTGTTATTTCTGATAATTTGCTTTTTAAACAGTAGAAAATGTATTTTAAATATATGATCTGGCCTGTGAATATGAGTTTCCTATTGAGGGATAGTTTATACTAACACACATGTTTAAAGCGAACTAAAGTCCCCTACCAGTCAATATCCCTGAGCTTCCTCCTCACCACTGACATCTCTGCCCAGTCCTCTTGCAGATGCATGCACACACACAGAAGTTAATTTATCCCAATATCAAGGCATGCCAAGAATGTGCACTGACCTGAGCATGCGCAGTTCAGTGTACATTCAGAGGAAACATTGCTGGCAGGCAGGTAAGACGCATTTATAGCTGAAGAGGCATACTGGGGTTGATTTACTAAAACTGGAAAGTGCAAAATCTGGCGCAGCTGTGCAAGGTAGCTTCTAACTGCAGCTTGTTCAGTTAAGCTTTGACAAGAAGAACCTGGAAGCGGATTGATTTCTTTGCACAGCTGCACTAGATTTTGCACTCTATAGTTTTGGAAAATCAACCCCACAGTATCAATATACACTATATTGCCAAAAGTATTTGGACACCTGCCTTTACATCCACATTAACTTTAATGGCATCCCAGTGTTATTCTGTAGGGTTCAATATAGAGTTATAACAGCTTCAACTGTTCTGGGAAGGCTGTCCAGAAGGTTTAGGAGTGTGTCTATGGGAATGTTTGACCATTCTTCCACAAGTGCATTTGTAAGGTCAGGCACTGATGTTGGAAGAGAAGGCCTGGCTTGCAGTCTCCACTCTAATTCATCCCAAAGGTACTCTATCAGGTTGATGTTAGGACTCTGTGCAGTCAGTCAGTTCCTCCACCCCAAACTCACTCATCCATATTTTATGGACCTTGCTTTGTGCCCTGGTGCACAGTTATGTTGCTGATGCCTTAAGAGTTCCCTTCACTGGAACTTAGGGGCCAAGCCCAGCCCCTGAAAAACAACACCACACCATAATCCCCCCTCCACCAAACTTTACACTTGGCACATTGCAGTCAGGCAAGTACCATTCTCCTGGCAACTACCAAGCCCAGACATGTCCATCGGATTTCTAGACAGAGAACTGTGATTCGTCACTCAAGAGAACAACTGCTGTTGAGTCCAGTGGTGGAATGCTTTACACCACTGCGTCCGACACTTTGCATTGCACTTGGTGATATCAGGCTTGAATGCAGCTGCTTGGCCATGGAAACCCATTCCATGAAGCTCTCTAGCCACTGTTGTTTTTTTGCTAATCTGAAGGCCACATGAAGTTTGGAGGTCTTTAGCTATTGACTCTGCAGACAGTTGGCAGCTCACTGTGCTCTTCAGCATGCGCTGACCCTGCTCTGTAATTTTTCGTGGCTTACCACATTGTGGCTGTTGTTACCACATTGAGTTTCTGTTGTTCCCAGTTGCTTCCACTTTGTTATAATACCACTAACAGTTGACCGTGGAATATTTAGTAGCAAGGACATTTCACAGACGGACTTATTGCACAGGTGGCTGCCTATCAACCTGCCATGCTTGAATTCACTGTGCTCATAAAAGTGACTCATTCTTTCACAATTGTTTGTAGAAGCAGTCTGGTGCTTGACTTTATACACCTGTGGCCATGGAGGTGATTTGAACACCTGAATCCATTGATTTGGAAGGGTGTCCCAATACTTTTGGCAATATAGTGTACAATAAAGCTTACAATATCCAACAATATACGAAAAAAGTTTACCTGCCAGCAATTTTTCATTATTAACCTTAAGTTCCTATTTAATTTTGGTGGAGAAGAAGCAAGCTGTATTATGAAAAATCATTAATGATCGGCTGGGAAAATATATCCTGGCTCATCATTCCTATCCCTGAGCAGGTTCAGCCAGAGGGCATTGGGTGAGGCCTATTGACATTTAAATCTTCATTTGTATTGATAGCATTTCTCAAAAGCATTATCTGCAGAAAATGGTTTTCCAACAATTATTTTGATTCATATCTCCCATTTTTACTCACAAATAATAGAATATATGTCAAAACAGGCCAGCCATAATGTCCAGATGCACAGGTGAAAAAACAGGTGCTGCACTACAAAACTCCGGCCATTGGGGATTATGGGTGCTCCTCTCATTGATCTTTTGTGCTCCACCTCCTGAATTCTAAAATATACTACTTCCATCAACTTTAAAAAAATAAGTTTTCATATATAGGACTAGGAGTTATTTGGTGTGAGGACCTTATTTATTGAAATGTGATCTGACATAGAAATTATGTGAACACAAAAAACAATCATATACTGGGATTCTTTATACAGAGAGATACATACAGTAGATACATAATAAAAGAAGAAGAAGACTTTGGTAACAAAAAAAAAAGGGGGCATATTTATAAAGCTCTGTGGATTCCAGTCACATTCGCCAAGATGAATTTACTAACATTCATTGTACAAGCATCACAAATTCAGTTGCAATACACATTATATTTATAACATGGTGAATGCGATGTCAGTGAATGTTTAAAGCAAAACACATGTGGTGTATGTTTAAAGTACAGTAGAAGTTTTTTTTCAGTAAACATCTGGTGAGTGTTTTTTTATAATAGCGTAGGCTGTAGAAAGTTCTGATTTTGTACAGCCTGACTGTCTATCCTTGGAAATGGGGGTCAATTCAGAAGGTTTCTGTTATATGTTTAACAATGGGGGAATTTTCTATCTTCTGTATAGAAATACTGAATTGCCTAGTTCAGTAAAGAGGTTGATTGTGGTATTATAACACTTTACCATAAAACTATACTTAAAATATCAGTTCAAAAAGATCATGCATATTTTATCACATTGAGAGCCACTAAGCTCTCACTGGAAAGAAGGTAAAGGTTCAAAATTCCAATTTATTGGAAATATAGATTTTGCAAAAATACAGATTCCTTACTGAAACATTTGTAAGTTATAAACAAAACAAATGTGTTTATAACTTCAGTGAATCTACGGTCAGAATCAGTGTAGCATGTTAACTTTGTTTTTCAATACCTATATACAATCTGTGTTTTCAATTTTGTTTACATACTGCAATTGTAATGTGAGTTTATGTAATAAATTCATGATGCTTATTAGTGTGTAATTTAAAATTTCAACTCAAATTAAATTAGTTGTTCAACATTCTAGTTATTTAACTATATTCTTGCATTTTTTTATTACTGTTGTAATAAACTTTATAAGTAGAAGAGGATGACAAATGACACTTTTTCTCATTTTTTTTTAGCATTCACAGACTTTTAAAAATGTTTCAAAATACACAAAAAGTAAATGTTAAAAATAAAGGTTTTTAGTGAATGAATGGTGACTGCATAATGAATGCCAAATTACACATAGCATGAATAGTACGGTGATAGCCTTTTCTTAATAAACAAGAGATGCTGGTGAATGATTGTGAAAGTTGATTAAACTGGTAAATATGTGCATGAATCTTGCCTTGCTGGCAATTGTTTTTATAAACATGGTGTATCTGCAGTGAATAACTAGGGAAAATGCAGCGATTCTTACATTCACTGGTTTAAAAATATGCCCCAGTCTCACCATCTAACACAAAAATATCTTTGCCATTGAGGTGCTAATTTAAAATGTCACCATTTAATTTAATGTAATTTAATACATGTAAACATTTCTAGATTTTTTTTGTGGTTGCATTTTTCTAGTAAATCAATATTTTCAAAATATAAATATATGACTTGTCTTCTAGCACAACGGTAAAGGCTGTTTTAAATTTTCCAGTAAATTACTTTATTAGTTTCTTCTTCTTTATTCAAAATAAATCATTTCCATCTGTTCATAATAAGTCTGTCATTAGCATTATACAGTTGCATTGACAACAGTAACCTCAGGTCAATAAGCTGAGAGTGTCACCAGGAGTCTGAGCCTCAATTATAACCCAAATTATGTAAATTCAAAAGAAGGTTGTGTTGTTTAAAATGTACGACAACCATTTGCTCCCCATCCACTTCAAGAGAAAGAGAGAATCTGGTGAAACAAAGCCATAGGGAGATAACTGAGCGGGTCCTGATTATTAGAGTCGTGGGAAGAAAATGCAAGAGAGAAGAACGGAAGCCCTACACAATAGTACAGCTGAGCCACTTGCTATTAAAACTTCCCAACAATTTTTCTTGAATACAAAGATTTATTATAAAGTGTACCATATGTACTCGCTGTTCAGTGACACTGTATATTTGTCCTTGATTACTGTTTTGTCTCAGGGTTCCATTAAGTTAAAAAATGCATTTTATAAGCTATTTTTTGTGGTCATGTATAATTATGTTGTCCAGATCCTCACTATAGTCAGTAGCTTTTCCAGAGCCGTTATTTATCTACATTATATTATACAAGTTCTTTGTATATCGCTGATTGTTGATTTTAATAAAAATGAAAGTCATAAAATACATACAGTATTTAATTACATTTAGTGCATTACAAAGCTAAATATATGATAAATGTGTAGTGAAGGTGCTCATAAGCTTTTTTCTTTTTATCTAAAAATATTTTATATATTTTTTATATTTTATATTTTTGGAGAAATAATGAGAGCAGCTGCTGAGCACTGAACATTTTCTCTTGTTTTAATGAAAAATATAGTGTGAATCAAGTGATTTTTATATTTGCTGAGTCTATCATTTCAGTTCTATTTATAAGAATGTTATAATTCATGTGTAATTGGAAGCTTTCAGTTAAGAACCAGTGTAGTGCAATGAAATAATACAATATTTGCAAAAATAATGCATACAAACCTTGTAATAATTATCATGACATACATCAATGCCAAGAGTGGACTGGCCTGCCCTACTCTTCTGTGAAAGGGTAAAGTAATTGACAAAGCATTGCTAATCTTATGTCAGATCATCATTGAAAATAGACAATGTGCATTAGGGAAAATTGCACTGCATCCAAATACCTGTCATTGGAAAACATAATTAAAGTATACGTATAGCCAAAATATTTTTTTTTATTTTGGATAGTATAAGAAGTAAATTGATCCACTGTAATTTTTTTTTTACAGTTTCCCAATTGGTAGATTCAGGTTCTCTATTCATCCTGCTCACCATTGCTATCAAGGCAAAAAGTGATGAGAAATCCAAAATGTTACAGTTGCCACCAGAACAAGAGGACTAGGGAAATCTTCCAATTAGAAAACCACACAGCTACAGCGGGGAAAATAATTATTTGATCTCCTGCAGATTTTGTAAGTTTGCCCACTTACAAAGAAATGAAGGGTCTATAATTTTTTTTATCATAGGTGTAATTTAAATTCTAGAGATAGAACATCAACCAAAAATCCAGAAAAACATGATACAAAATGTTAAAAACTGAGTTTCAGTTCAGTAAGTAAAATAAATATTTTATCCCCTACCAACCAACAATAATTCTGGCTCCCACAGACTGGCTATGTGCTCATGTGGTACACAGATTAGTCTTGTCAATTTAAGAAGGTTCTCCTAACGACAACTCATTATGTGTATAAAAGACACCTGTCCACAGAATCTCTTTCTTCCATGCAAACCTCACCACCATGGGCAAATGACCAAAGAGCTGTCAAGGGACATCAGGGACAAGATTGTAGACCTGCACAAGGCTAGAATGGGCATCAAGACCATCAGAAAGAAGCTTGTGAGAAGGAGACAACTGTTGGAGCAATAATTCACAATTGGTTATTACAAAATAACCATCAATCGTCCTTGTATATAAACAAGTGAAAATATGCAGCGCTAGAATAGTAATGATGAGCAAAATAAATGTACATATATGAAAGTAGGCAAAAGAACAATAATATTCGAAACTGACATTTAACAACGCTAAAAGATAAGAAGACCAGTTTGAGGTATATTCTCACAGGAGCAAATAATGACAATCATACTCTAGTCCTTATATATGCACGTATATGAGAGTAGACAAAAATACAGTGATAATCAGAAACTGGCGTTTAGCAACGCTACGAGGTAAAAAAGACCAGTCTAAGATAAAATCTCATAGGTGCAAATGGTGACAATAGTGCTCTAGTCCACATAGTAAATAAAGCGAATAACCGTGATTGCTGTGGCTGTGAGAATAGGTGTACAATGCACTAACCAGATAGCACAAATGATTGTGCATTGGAGTATATAAGACCTACTCCTTGGTACTCAGGGAATGGAACCTTTAACACGGATGAAGTCGTCAAGGCAAGAACCAACCACCAGGGGTCATCCATCCAGGACAGGTTACCAGTCTCCAGCAGAATGAATCACAGCCATCGGGACAGGTTAGCAGTCTCCAGCAATACCGGTCTCAACCATGGGGGGGTTCATGCAAATATGCATAGATCAGATAAGAAGAAGCACCTCAGGAGAAGGGGGGGCTCGCCAATGGAAATAACGAGCCCGAGAGAAAAAAAAGCTCCAATAGTGTAGTAGTTTTAATGCTTCAGGTAAAAGTGACATCAGAAAACAAAAAATTCCAAACACTTACATAAATCAATCAAAAACATTGTCAGCCATATGGGAGGCCATGTGGTGTAATGGTACAGGTTAGGGGCACCTCCCAAGCGCGTTTCGTGTAACACACACTTTGTCAATCATCCATGGT